TCTTCGTTCCGACAGTGCTCTGAGATTAGAGGGATGGTGTGACTCTGATTGGGCAAGTTGTCCTCTTACTAGGAGGTCATTGACAGGTTGGTTTGTGCTACTTGGTTTTTCCCCGGTGTCTTGGAAAACAAAGAAGCAACCTACGGTTTCACTTCATCTTCGGAGGCAGAGTATAGGTCAATGGCGGCCGTAACATGTGAATTGAAGTGGTTGAAGCAAGTCCTAAGAGACTTGGGTGTGCAACATTCACAGGGTATAAAATTATTTTGTGATAGTCAGTCGGCTTTGCATATTGCGCAAAACCCGGCATTCCATGAAAGAACGAAACATATTGAGGTTGACATGCATTTAGTGAGAGATGCAATTACAGATGGTTTGATTTCGCAGTCATATGTTCCTACGAAGGAACAACTTGCAGACATTTTTACGAAAGCCTTGGGAAAGGCTCAGTTTGAGACGTTACTTGACAAGATGGGCATTCGACATCTGTATGCTCCATCTTGAGGGGGGATGTTAAGATAAGAGTATACCTTATTAGGAGATAATATATTTTAGGTATATAATTATATCTTATTATATCTTATGATATCTTGTAATCTTAAGAATATTATCTTGGTTAGGAGAATTGTTTCCCAAGGATTGTATTCTTATAAATATTGCCAAACTGATGAATGAGAAGATAAGAACTTTGTGAATTAATTTGACATATGTACGTACAAGATGTACATATATGATTATTTGAATATGTTATTTATGAAGTAGGGCGACGAATTGGGAAATCAGGCATATAAATGATGCACGTATTGTCAAGAATTTTTGCCTCTACTCGACGCTGACATTTCCATGAAAATTGGGGAATTTGATTTGGCTCTTCATTCTTATTTACACACTTTCTCTTTCCATCCACCCTTTTCTGTGTGCATGTGAACACCGATTTGGACATAGCTGGCTATACATCAGTGATATGACACCAAGAGCCATTTATGGATGGGGTAATTTGGCTACTACATATAGTCTCATAAAGTCAAATTTGGACTCTAACTATCTACTTAAATTTATGGATGAGTTCGTGATCTGACATAGTTGTTAAAAGATCAACTTAACCAAATGATTAAACTGATGGTTGAAACTAGGATCGATTTATATATATTCATTCTATCACGCCTCCTAACATAAGAACCTTTGAGCTTGCAGTGTAGATGTAACATGGACTATCTTCATACCCAGTGCGAAATATTACACTTGAAAGTGGGAGGTGGCGGATGAGATGTGATCAACACATGGCCTTTTTGTTTGTTATGCTTGCTATTAATACTATGTTAAAGGTTAAACCAAAAGCTTAATATGATGGTTGAAGCCCAAGATCGATTTATATTATAATCTATCAATGGTGCCAAGAGCCAACATGATAAACATGTGACAAACTTAATCTCATCGCCCCTCCTTTTAAAGTGGAATATTTTAACTATCAAGCTAGCTTTTTTAGTTTAGTCGGTCCTCTTAATTTGCCTATCAATAGTCATATTACTCATATAATCATTCATAACTTGTATCCTAGTTAACGCCACCACAATTTTTTGGGGATCTTTCTTTTAAAGACAGCAATAGACCGTGAAAATTTGTGATTAAACCTAAAGAAATCAATTAAGTTAGTTGTTAAATACATTTCTCAATTGTATTAATATATTAATTACGCTTGAGATGACTTATATGTATACAGGCCAGATAAATATAGTGATATTTAGAACTTAAAGACTAATTAATCTTAGGTCGATGCAACTAATTTTGGTCTTAGACAAAAAACGAAGTTAATACTCATATGAATGACATAACATTCCATAAATAAAAGTATGAAACATATGGTGTCCCTTTAAAAAGGGTGTGAGAACGATATATACTTGTTATAAATTAAACTCAATATATAGACCCACACAATATTTATATTGTAAAAGAAGAAACCAAGAATGTGATAGTGTGACCTTATCGTCGTACAAAAGAAATTGAAGGTAACAAAATTAGAAGAAGTTAGGAAAAATCCATAATAAAATGATGAAAAAGCAATAGGAAAATTAAAAGATCAAAAATATAAGAGAAAGAAAGATAAGAGTTGATAATTAGGGAGGCTTGTTAATAATACCCCGTGAGAAATGTTTGGAGGCATTGACAGCTAAATAGGAAGCTTTGACAGCTTCTTCTCACTCTCTAAAACTAGGTCGGATCACGAGTAGATTCCTTTTTGTATGTGTGCATGCTCATTTTTGTATACATTTGCTTTCATGCAAATTTAGTTTTGTTTTTATACTTCCATCACATCCTCCCGTTTGCCCCACGAACGCCTATTCTATTATCACATATAGTCGATATGGATACCTAGTGTTACTTTCACTAACTAAGCGAGGAATAGCTCAAGTGGTTAGAACTTCTCTCTCGGTTCTAAGAGAAGTTGAGATTGATTTGGTTCTAAGAGAAGTTGAGATTGATTCTCACCCTCGGCGGCCTTGTAGCTCTCTAAACATAAGAAGGAAAAAAAAAAAATTAAGCGAATTGATATTCATTAGGGGTGAGGGTATAAATAACTCTTCAAATTAGCAATTTAGCTCTTAGCTTGTATATTCAACCTATATGCGTAATTTAACACAAAAGTAATTATTTTATACAAAGTATAAATTTAGGGCCTGTTTTCTTTAGTTTAATTTCAGTTCAGCTCCAATCAATTCAATTCCGATCCTAATTTTCTTCTCTTATAAACAATTCATTTCAGTTCACTTCAGTTCAGCTCCAATCAGTTCAGTTCGATTCAATTCAGCTTAGTTTAGTAAATCAGAACAGACCCTTATTTACCTTGAAAAGATGTTACCGTCAACCCAACAAGGCCTATAATTGGGTACTAGTGAATTTTGCAAAATCTAGTCAATTAGAAACTGTTGTATTGATTTCGAATAACATGTCAAAACTTGAGTTAATTAGTGATAAATTGGCATGCAAATCAATCATTTCAATAACATTTATTTCCCTCTCTTTTGTTCAATGTCATCATGAATGCAAGCTGGAATGCCATGACATTTTGTGATTGGAGACTATACACACAGTAGACATGACGGATATCGAAAGCGTCACAAAGCTATCTTGTCCAAGTTACATATGTTTGATTAATCTAGCATCTAGTTCCATCTTCATCATCAAATTCCAATTTACATAATTCATATGTTAGAATTCGGGGAAATCCTCAAATTAGAGTGTGTATCATGTATAGATCAATATGTATAGAGTTTACAATACTACTCCTAATCACGTTAGACAACCTAGCACGATAAGGATATAAAATATATATAAAATCTATCCTAATCTGCAATAAATATTATTATCATAAATATAATATCTATCCGAAATTTTTTTCTTTTGTGGTTGAATATAATATGACTCACAACTTCATATGTGTATTTTCAAGCATCGCGGCGGTTTTATCTATTAAATGGCCTTTTATGTTTTCATTAGTTATCCTGTAAATTAGATTTTAGAAGGATTAAGTTTAAGAGATAATTATGTTGGTTGGTTCCAAATAAAGCTAGTAGAATGGTATATAATCACATTGTCAATAGATGAATGGTAAAAAAATTTTGTGACAGAAATGAATTAAAGGGTGTAATTTTCTAAGGATATTATCATTTAATTTTCCATGATGGATGATGTAATATCATCTTCAAACAGTGAAACAGGATTTTCCAATAGGTTTTATTTATAATTTTCATGCTAAAATCGTCTTTTAAATGGATGGCAATAAGCCAATAATGAAGACTTATAACAAAAAAGAGATAGTTTAAGGTAGATAATTATTATTGTGGACATTAACATAAGAAATTAATTTCATCATAAATTTGCATGAAGATTAAATTTAATTAGCACCACTTCTTATTGATGCATATATACCATACATGTCGTGAAGGAAATTTACGTCCCTTTAACTTATAGCTAGCGAAGAGTTGTTTGTTTGTTTTCAACTTGTTTTTATCTTATTTCAAAAAATAGATAGATTAAAATAGTTCTAACAAGTTCAAACAAGATACATTCAAAGTTCATAGTATTATATAATTTTAGACAAAACCAATCTAAGCATCTATTATAATCGTCGACTATACAATGCCTATAAGTATCACTTTCTTCCTTTTATTTTCCTTAATTAGATGATTAATCTTTCTATATTGATATAATTTATTGTAGTAATTAGTCGTTTTCAGCTTTCTTTAAATTTTGTAGTGCATTGTCAAATCTCATCAAAAAAAGGTTGATAAATTTTTGTTTAAATTGTTTAGGGATCTCAAATATATATATGGAACTTGCCTAATCAATTACTATCATTTGTGACTGTTTGTACATCCAAAAAATAGAAGAACTAAGGGCCTGTTCTGATTGACTGAATTGAGCTGAATTGAACTGCACTTGTTGGAGCTGAACTGAACTGAATATTTTATGAGAGAAGAAAATTAAGAACTGAATTGAACAGAAAATAATATGAAGAGAACAGACCCTAAGATTATTAAATATTATATGGAGACCTTTAGCAAGCTAAGGATTCTTTAGCTTAAGAGAGGTAGGAGTTTGAGCCTTAAATAATATATGGCAACATTTTTCTTTGAGTAACAATACTATGGAGAATGGGAGATGGCTAATGTTTAGGTTAGTTTAGATAGGCACACCCGACCTTGACTGATTTGAAGAGGTGGATCTGTTTTCTTACTTCTTAGTTCTTACCCTTCAATTTATATTCTCCGTATTTATTAGCTATACTAACCGGTCTAACTTTTAACTACTAACTATATATAATTAAAAAGTTATAGATTACTTCAACTGGCCCATCCCGGACCAACCTAAATAGAGACACTTGTAGATAATTTACAATATACAACAGTTACAAAGTACGAGTACTTATTTAACGATTCTATATATATTTATGCTGTCTAGTCTAGTCTAAAATATGTAGTTGCACTTGCACAGTAATATATGATATATATGTGGTCTACCACCCCCATGATATGCAGCAGCAGCAGACAAACAACAAAAGAGACTGAATTTATATATAAGGCTCTCTTACCTTCCCACTTTCTCAGGGCAACCCAAATATATAGACAGAGATCGATCCATCATTTTATTTGTTTGATCATCGATCACTTCCAAGCACATTACACATACTATACAATACATTTAAGTAGCTACTCACTTCATTCTCACTAGAGAAAGACAAACAAATCCATCGATCGTTCGATTCGATTCGATTCGTTTGATCTAGATAAAGATATAATCATGTCATCTAAAGATAAAAAGAGGGCTGCTTTGCAAGAGAAATATCAGCTCCTCCGTTCAGTCACCAACTCCAACGCCGTATGTGTACTATGTTCATTGTTATTCTTTTTTATTCCTATTACTATTATTTAAGATTTTCGATCTATATTTATTGTTTTGTTTCGGGTTATTGTATGCAGGCGAACACGGCTTCTATATTAGTAGATGCATCCAAACACATTCAAGAGTTGAAGGAAAAGATTGAAAGGCTTAATCAAGACATTAGTGGTTGTGGTAGTAGTAGCACTAGTCCATTTCCTAAGGTATACATTTTATTTATTTTTATTTTTAATTTAAAGGAATTCCTAATTAATTCAGGTATTCTTGAGTTTGTGTAATTCAGTAAAATTATAATTACAAGATTAAATACTCTACATTTACAAAATATTTTAGCTGTCTTATTTTTTATTTAAGTGGACAAAAGATAATTTATAAACAACAAATAATTAAAACACAAATCCTTTAATTTTTTGACATTTATTTTTATTTATTTTTTTTCATCAAGTGTTTTGAGCTAATCAGTTTGTGGAAAGCGCCAAAAAATTTGGAATTGAAATTGAACCCAAAGTTCTTAATAAAGCCAAAAACATGTATAGATATTAATGTAACGATTTTTTGTCTAATTATTGCTGTTGTATGTATTTTCTATTTTGTGGCCTGATTTCTTAGTCATAATTTGGTGACATTTTACTTGAAACTTTTAATTAGGTCTATCAAATAAACAAAAGGTTTACTCTTTGTACTGCGTTGTTAGAATAAATAAATTAAAATGATGGTTTAGCTCGCTCTTATCAAAATAACTAAATATAATATTCCTACTTAAACTTATCATTCATTATTAATCAAGAAAATTTTACTCCAAAAAACTTTGATTTTGGCATGATGCATGACTTTATTTATTTGTATAACCTTTTGATCTCCTTTTTTTTCATCTAATGAATTTGTGATCTTCATTATTATTACTATTTTCTTAAATGTGTATAATTTGTCCCTTATTATTTGAGTATAGAAGTTTGATAGTTTTTTTTTTTTTTTTTTTTTCAAAAGGTGTATTAACTTTTTTAATACATGAATAAATCAAACTATATTTTCAAATTAAACCTCTAGCATAATTTTGTGACGTTTGTTAAATAAAACTATGAGAACAGTTTTTGTGACAGTTGTTAAATACAATTGTGAGAACATTGTTCAAATTGAAAATGAAGATGAACAATACAGTAAGAGATGTACACAATATATAGACTTTCAAGCTTTAATTGACCACACCAAATGGTCTCTAAAACATGAAAATAAATTGATTGGTAAATATCCACAAATGTAATTTTTACATATATATGTATCGCCTTTTTTTTTGGTGAAGATATATGTATCCCTTTGACCTAGTTTTCAAACAACTAAAGTGAAGTAGATAGTGTATGTACGGAGGCTATTAAGTGTTATACGACCATTATATAATTAGTACCTATGAATTAAGAACCAAATTAATTTTTAGCAATCATTGACCATAGTATGTACATTGATCGTGTTATATGTGTAAGAAAATATAATCATATGTTATTTTGATCAATCTTCACTATCAACTTAGTTACTATGATGTGTACAAATGTTGATAATCATGAATGATAGATATATTTACGTGTTATTTCTCGATCGACTTTTAGGTTAGTGTACAAACCCTAGAAAAAGGGTTTCTAGTGAATGTGTTCTCAGAAAGAAGTTGTCCTGGCTTGTTGGTCTCCATACTTGAAGCCTTCGAAGAGCTCGGACTCGAAGTTCTGGATGCTAAAGCTTCATGTACAGATCGCTTTGAGCTCGAAGCTGTTGGTGAGGAGGTATGTATTTTTCTACACAAACCATTGCAAAAATAATTTTGTTTTGGTGTTTGTGTGATGAGGAAAAATAAATCTAAAATCTGTGCATTTCCTTTAAATTATTTCTTCTCATAATTTGGAGTATACATTGACTTATACTTCCTTGACTAGGGCATCCTAAATTATTCTTTTGATATTTTAACCTCTATCTCGCAATTAGGGATAGATGAGTCATCATATGGCAAGATTTTAAGGAAATCTCTTTTGAAGTATAATTAGAGCTGCTAGTTTCTAATCCAAACCGTATAGCCCAACTGTTTTGAACCGATTCGAAAAGAAACTAAACTGTTAAATAACTAATTTTCGAAAACTGAAAACCTACTCGATCTAATATTTTTTTTCTAACCCAAAATTGAAATGAATCAAATTTGTGTGAACCATTACTAACCCAACCCGTTATCAAGCCAAAGCATTACAACCCAAAACTAACAATAACCCGAACCGATTACGTCTAAACCCAAAGTAACCCGACCCATTTTAATAAATTACGTAACTTATGTTATTATGGTGTGCTTTTAAAAAAGTCACGATATTTGATTAAGATCCTATATTCCTATTGTCTCCACAATAAAAATATATTTTGATTGGTAAAATTAGAAGCTTCATGAAACAATACAATAATAATAATATAATAGTAGTAAAAATAAGTTGATCAATACAACTGTAATAAGTTTTAAACTCTAGAATAGGTTTTAGTCAGTAAAAACAAATTCAATTAAGTATAAACGTGGAAAGGAAAGAAATTAATCTAGTACTTGTTACTTAAAATGCATTCGGAATTGCCTTGGCATAGAGTGACTTTTAAGAAGATTTAAAACCTTAACTCCTCTTCAACGAACTACTGTAGTTAGTGTTTATGTTGTTTTAATTTAGTTACTACTTACTATATGTTTCATGGTCGCTTATTGTACTGTCTTTAATAATCGATCCCTTTTTTGAAACACATGTTAAAAGATGTTATATACTATTATGAGTATGTAAAGTAACTATACGTCTATACCTACTTTAAATCTAAAATAATGTAACTACGTACATACATGGTACCAAGTATATATAATTAAGTTGGTTGTAAATGGTTTTGAGGGAATTAACTCACATCCACATCCACATCCACATCCACATCCACATTCGTACCCTACGTTGTTACAACTTTAATTTAATTTTGTGTTCAATTAAAGACACTAACTAAAAATTAACACAGAGTTGAAAAAAAAGTTACAAACATGATACATCTTACTTCATCATCTTGATGTCGTCATCATAAAGTCGTCATCATCATCTCCATGATATATGTCAGCATTTGACCATTTAACTTTAGTGAGCTAATGTATGAATAATAAAATTTAATAATTCATATCAGCGTTTTAATTTTTATATAGATAATTATTAATTTTAATTGTTTTTGTTGAAACAATCACTTTATTGAACTATAGTTTTAACACAGCAAATATTAATTTTGAATGTTTACTTGTACTTAGTAATGTTGCCTTAATTTTTGTTTTCATTGTTTTAACACAATTATATTATTGTACGCATCGCAGAATGAAGGAGTAGATAGCTTGGATGCACAAGTAGTAAGGCAAGCAGTGTTACAAGCTATTAGAAATTGGAGTGAGAGTACGTAGACGACGAACTTAGAGTAATGCATATATGCGTACTTACTCTACATGTCAAAAATTATTGTGTTTTTTGGCATAGCTATAGGTTCATTTGATTAATTTGCACAATGACATCAAATTTCGTTACGATGCCTTAGCTCACTCATGCCAAGAAAGTAGGCCTAGTTATTGAACGGGTTGGAGATTTTCATGAATCCCTTAGCTTGTTGTCCCTCCCGCGGTTAGCTTGAAATTAAGCTAAGTGTACCATTACATTACAATGTTTTAGTAATATATACTAGTTGGTACTTGCTAATTAAGTGAATGCATGCTACGTTTTCCAAAAAAAAAAAAAAAAAAAAAAGTGAATGCATGCTACCGTGAGGCAGTGACTTGACTCTATGATTTGCTCTTATTAATCCTCTCATTTGTTCAACTTATTAGAACTAAAAAGTTGAAGGTGTTTAGGAATTGAAGTCTGGTTTCCTACACCTATTAGGATGCTATGTTACTATATATTGTGTAAGTAGCCTATTGATGATCAGCAATAATGAAGGCTTGTGCGACTCTCTTCTTTCTTTAATAATCAACACAGTCAAACCTGGCAAACTTATCAATGCATTATCTTTTTTTTTTTTTTTTTTTTTTTTTTTTTTTTACCATAAATATAAGTAATTAAATATTAGTAAAATTTATGTACTCAATAAAGAAAAATTCGATATTATGACATACATTTAACATATTTTTTTTAATAAAAGGAAAAAAAAACATGGTCAAGATCTCATTTGGTTGACGTAGAAAATAAATTTATATGAGAGTTACTAATGCAAGAGAAATTAATCATCTATACAATTTCTACGAATTACTCTACATAATGACATAATGTGTGCTGGTGTCATGTGAGAATTTATAAAACCTAAAAATTCTTGCCTTGGGTTTTAATATATATATAGATGTCAACCAAACAACATGATCAAAGAAATGCAATGGAGAATTTGAGTGTCTATTGAAATTAAGGGTAACCAAACGATATACAAGTGTGTAAATTATTATTTATGGAGGAAGTATCTATTTAGTAACGGTCAAATAACACAAATGATGCATTAAAATACATAGTATAAGATCCAAATGTATATACTTTTTCTCTCCCTAACTTTTGCCTCATTGCCATTATTTCGTCAAACTTTTAAAACTTAGACCATTGGTTGTCATTGATCCAATACAGTTGGATTTACGTCATGGTATATTTTATTTATGGGTAATGTTATACATAGCCCTTAGGGCTATATATAAGCATTAAAAACACTATTAAAAACTGTATAAAATTAGGAAATCATGACAAAAACATGCGTAGATCAATGTAATAAGTGTGTTTTTATCATGATTTTCTAAATTTATACAATTTTCAACACTGTTTTTAATGCTTATATGTAGCCCTAAGGGCTATGTATATTTTTATCATTTATACTTTCATGAAAATAGAAACATATTAGATCATTAAAACATGTTTGATGTAATAAAAATTGAGTTAAGCAAATTAGATTCATAAATTTTAATGATCTCTCTTAGCTTTAATAATAGAAGCTAACATATTCTATTGTAATTTGGAATATAGAGGGGTGATTATAATGACATATTTGACATACAATGTATTATTTATATGAAAGAGTTGTAACTTTCTAAACATTTAATTGAGGGGAAAATCAAATAATTTAATGAGGTTGGAACTGGTGATGTCATATTGCCATTGACGTTAAAACTACAAAGAAACAAGAATAATAATACTACATATGAAGGTGAAAAGTTGATATAATGTCATTTGATTTTTTAGTTACAAACTCTATTAGTATGAGGTAAATTAATCAGCTTTTCCATTATGTAATTTTGGACAATGTAAGTTACAAATAAATTGTGGGCAGTTTATTAAGACTACTGAATTATCAAGCGAAATTCAAGGAAGAAACAATTATGGAGTGTTCTTATTCACTATATAAATAATAAATGAATCAAATAATAGCTCTTGGGAATATTGCTGCGATTATTACATTGACATGTAATCGCTTATGTGGCGCTTTGTCAATTAAAAAAAAGAAGACATGTGGCAAAAAGAGTGACACATAGCGGAATGATACTCTTTACCTTGAATTTTAATAATACTATTGATTGATATGTTATGGAACCCAACTTAAAAGCCACACAACCGTGAAATGAGTATAGGTCATGAGTAATGGGCCTTAATATCCAGTCTATCCATTGTGTCCAAGATTTTGCTGACGCAGTAGGATTGGGTTGGGTCATCTTTATTTCGGATAACGTTTGCTCAGAATTTTCATTTGTTTAAAATTGGCTTAGTTTGGGTCACTTCAAATTTAGGTGAATACGGAAATTACACTTTGAGAGCGAGGGGGAAGGGTAAGGGATCCTTACCCTCAAAGTGTCTCTAATGGAAATTGAACCCCTAATTTCAAGGTTGGAAGGTAACAATCTTACCACTAGACTAAGCTTAGATTAGTGAATACGGTAATTGTACTTGTAGCTTTAAGTTCTGTTCAATTTTGGTACAGGTTGTATTCGTATTTAGTTTGACAATTGACATGCTCATGGTATGGTTTGTGAGCTAATTATGGGTTGTAACCCTATAGTATGAGTACGAATTAAATTTAGTTTGGTTAGATATTGAGTTGGAAAAATTCATACCATTAATCCCAACTATTGGATGTCTTCTCATATTAATCCCAACTATGGGAGGTGTCTTCTAGAATTGATTTGTGACCTGTTTTAACTTATTAAACCGGTTGTTTGTATGAGGTGGCATATTGTGATTGGCTTATACTTTTTTTTTTTAAAAAAAAACAATCTGCAATAATATATCTTACAAAAAAAAAAAAAAATCGACCCTGTCCTTTTTAAATTATTGAGTTCAGGGAAGAAGACAGAAAGAGAAGAGCTTACATTGTTGATTGAACATGACAGCAATGAGAAAAAATCCAATACAACAACATACAACTACTGTACAACCTATCTATACTAATATAAACTATCATTGTCGTTTATGATTTTTCATTATATAAATTATTGTTGTTTGTCCATTGATTTTAAATGAAAAAACACAAAAATCATTACTTTTTAATGAAGAGGAGAGAAATTAGGGGCAAGATGAAGTAAGGGAATGAAAATGCAATGGAAATATGAAGGATCGGAGGAGCTGAACTTGATCGGTGCGTGTTGAGTAAAAGTAGTAATACGGCAATACGCTGATCAGTGGTGTAGATATGGTGTGCGGTGTTTTGTGGCTAACAAAGAAAGCGATAAATGGTGGTTATTTGTTCAAACCACCCACCGAAAGGAACGAATGGGAAGGTCGTGATCGCAGCCGAGGTCGACAGTGGTCAACAATGACATTAAGAGGAGAGAGCAGCAAAGGAGACATTGAGCCATTAAGGGCAAGCAAAAAAATGGTGCACATACGTAGGTGGCTGGGTGGTGGAGGGGAGCAAAATAGGAGTGGTGGACCGGTGGTTATGGAGCTGGGCAAGGGGAGGAGAGAGAGTGATGTTTAAAATAAAAATATAAAAAAAAAAACTTTACCTGCTTAACCGGTTACAAGTCATACTGGATCATTTTTGGAAGACACTCTTCATAGTTGGGATTATTCTATAATAATCCATAGTTGGGATTGATTTGGGAAGACTATCAATAGTTGGGATTAATTATGTGAATTTTTCCTATTGAGTTTAGATAAACTTTTGACCAAATTACTTTGAGTTTAGATCAAGTTTATATTGTATAAGCCTTGATTATTGGTCAAGCTTAAATAAGATAATTCGCATGTATCGTTCTAGTCAAAATTAGTTGACCTATGAATTTGAGATAAGATCAGTCCAGACAAACCTTATGATTAAATAAAGTTTAAATTAGGCTGGCCTTGAATTTGGCTAATTTTGAACAAAGTCTTGGCTATTTTGAACATCTCTACAAGCAAATTGCCCTAGTAATGAAGACGACAACAACCTAGCGTCACTTGATAAAACAACCGCGACATCGTTAAATTAGAAGGCCTTCTTCACCTGGACCAACTGTACAGGATATATAATGGCCCAACTCATTACTTTATATAAAAGCCTTCAGTATACCAACGAACTATGCAAGTTAAAAGCCCACTAGCCTAAGCCTATAACCTATTTCCTCCGTTCTTTTTTACTTACCTGTTTCTTTTATCACGCTTGCCAATGCAAAACTTTAACGATCAATAACTTAAACTTTCTATAAGTAAAAATTATAAAAGTTATATATTATGATAGTACTTATTGAGACGAATCCAAAAAGATCATACATGAATATATTTTTCCTTACATATTATTCACAAAAGACGGTCAAAGGAGGGGTGGTGAATAGTGTAAAAGTCAAAGCGGGTCAAGTAATAAAGAACGGAGGAAGTAAGATTTAACAACATCAGAAAGTATTATAATTACCTCCTTAAGTTGGAAGGTTTGGCTCTCTCACTTTCTCTACTTCTCCTATTTCTTTTACTCTCTTATGCTCATGTTAACTGATTTAAGCTTCGGAGGCTCTATCTCGGGGCCCTTCCCGAGTCTTAGAGTTTGTTTTACGGATTACTCGGATTCAAGACTGGTGGGCAACGACCCATGATCATCATCTCGGTTCCGCCCCGGAACACCAACAATTGTTTAGTGGGAATGGTGGATATTATACAGAATTAGTGTTGCATAATGCATATAGGAGGTGGCTGAGTGAATTTTGTTAGATGTAAACTCTATCTCATGTACAGGCATTGCTCTAACAGTTTAAGATTATCTTCATAACTCACAAGTTCACAACTATCATGGGTTTGTTTCCTGGCTTTTAGACACAATCTAAGCTTTAACGTAAACTTCCACTAGACTATTACACAACATTCTTGTTGTCTCATTGGCTCTTTGATGTGGGACCCGCACCGTATTCTAGTACATGAAATTTTCATTTTATACTTCGTATTTTGTTTTAAAAAATTTCAAGTAGTTTGGATTTCAATTTTAAATGGAAAAGTGATCCCACAAACATTTAATATAATCCTATTGTTGTTTTTTTTTTTAAATATAAGTGTTACAATTTATTTGGAAAAATTGCAAATAATGATACAACTTTTGGCCCGTTCTTTTTTAATAATACAACCTTTTGATTATACAGTAATATTGTAGTCTTTAGGGGGTGTTTAATTTAAACAGGCAAAAAAAACTTGTAACCTGTTGAATAGGTTACCATGACACGTATTGTCATGTAGTTAGTTTATTTATTTATTTATTTTTTTTAAAAAGAAAATTATTAAAATTGTTTAAAGTTTAATTAAATTTTTAATTTTTAATAAAGAATTGTAATTAAAAATATCCAACCACCACCACCACTACTTCCCCTCCCTTTTTTCTTCATAATCCCCTACTCTTCCCCTGCCCACCGCCCAACCTAACCGCACCGAATAAACCACCCCCGCATCTACCTCACTGCCACCACATCAGCCACAATCAACACCACCTCACGCCATGTAACCAGCAAACAATCCCAGCAGCTTCTTCGCTGCTCCCACATGTACCACCACGGTCCACCAGGCCGCAACAATTAACGCCACCGATACTGCCACTTCATCGCTACCAATATAGCTCCTTTTACGGGTTTCACATTTAATCCGAAAACCCGTTTCCTAGGATTTCAGGTTTTTTGGGTTAAACGCATTTTAGGTGGTTTGGGTGAGGGAATAGGGTTTAAAGGGGTCGAAAAACAGAGGAGAGGGTGGTTTCGGGGCTGTTGTGGTCGGGAAGGGGTATAATCGGAAACGAAGGTGGAAGTTTGTTACGGTTTTTGCGGGTTAGGGTTTCGTCGGATGGGTGGCACGATGAGTAAGGGGAGGTCGGGGTAATAAGGGTGGGTCGGCGACGGTGGGTGAGCTTGGACGCCGATCGTCCGGGTTCTGGGATAGGGGAGAGGAAAGGTGCGTGAGCGGGAGAGGGAAAGAGAATGATGGCAGGATGGTGGTGGCAAGGGTGGTGGATTTTTTTTTTCTAATACTAATAATAATAATAAAAGTATTTTTTATTATTAAATATTTTTTTAAAATTAAAATTATTACAAATTTAAAAAAATCAAATTAAATTGAGAAAACCAATAAAACAATGACACGTGGCACGATACCTGTAAAAACAGGTTACCAATTAGTTTTTGCCTATTAAAAATAAACACCCCCTAATGGTTGTAATATTGATGTATAATCAAAAGGATGTATTATTAAAAAAAGAACCAACCAAAAGTTGTATTATTATTTTCAATTTTTCCAATTTATTTTGGCACTATTTATAATCGGCAAATACAAGTTTACAAGCTCCTGGATTTGAGAATTCAGAATTCCCAAACTATGTTTACAAGCTTGATAAAGCCCTTTATGGACTGAAGCATGCTCATAGAGCATGGTATGAAAGGTTTTCCAAGTTCCTTTTGGATAATAGTTTTAAACGTGGCAAAATTGATAAAACTATATTTTTAAAATAAAAAGGAACTGACATTTTAGTTGTACAAATTTATGTTGATGATATATTATTTGGTGCAACTAACGAATCTTTGTGTAACTATTTTGCTGACCTTAGGGAGAAAAATTTGAAATGAGCAGGATGGGTGATTTAAATTTCATTCTTGGTTTGCAAATTAAGCAAATTGAAGAAGGGATCATGATCCATCAACAAAAGTTCATAAAGGAACTGGTAAAAAAGTACAAGCTCGATAATGCTAAAACCAATAGGGCTCCTATGGGTGTTGCAACTAAACTTGATGAAGACCCATCTTGAACTTGCATAGATCAAACTATGTATCGAGGTATGATTGGATCTCTACTTTACTTAACATCTAGTAGACCTGACATATTGTTCAGTGTAGTGTGCTATGTTCCAAGCAAACCCAAAGGAGTCACACCTGATAGTAGCTTAGTAAAAAGAATCCTTCGAATAACTTATAATGCATGACTTTTTGATAATGCCAAAATGGGGAAAAGAAGAAGAAAACTTGAAGGTTGAAGTTGTTCTGGGTACCAGTTGAGAAAGTATCAGAAATTTCTCTGATGCTGCTATGTATAAAGTAGTATAGTTAGTTTTGTTTTGTTTTAGTTATTTTTGTTTTTCAGTTTTTGCTTTCGTTGTGCGTTTATTTCCTCGTTAAAACTTAAAAATACAAACATACGTCATTATATGTGATTTAAGTTTTCTTAGAAGTTTGCTAAGTTTGTTATCATAAAAAAGAGGGAAATTGTTAAAGCTTAAGAGTTTTGATGATAATAAAGACAAAGAGCAAACTTTAACTAATCAAGATTTCTCTAAGTGTTGTAATAAGTAGAACAAGTGAAGTAGACTTTGGAATTGGAAGAGTAACCTGCCTACGAAGACTCAAGGAGACTCCAAGAAAATTTAAAGAAATAGAAGAAGAGTTCCTTAGTGGAACTAACTGAGTTCCCTGATAGGAAAGAGAAGACAGCAAGTTCCACAAGAACTTCAGCAAGGTGCTGAAGAAGTGAAGTCAGCAGGATCCTGGACTACATGAAGCCTAAGTATCCTAAGCTACAACAATTGAAAAAAAAATCTAGGTTATGTTAAGTTTATATATTTAAGGACTGCTGTAAATATGTTAGGTTAGTTTATGCATGGAATTTATTAAAAGCGTGGCGAAGCTTGGCAAGTTTGTACAAGGAAACTTTATAAAAGATAAGTTTTAATTTATGAAAAGATTTTCTAAAGATTTTATCTTATAAAATCCGGTTATAAAAAGATATTATTATTTTCATCAATTTATCTTTAATAAGTTTTCTAAAAAGATTTTCTTTACAAAAGATTTACACAAAACTGTGTTTTATGAATTATGGTAGTTTTAGAATTTCTATCATTTGGAAAACCCTACTTTACATACTAGTATTTGTTGTATATAACGTAGATTTCGTTCTTTACACAACTTGTGAGTTTTTATGCGTGAAGAATCTTAAGAGAGCTCAATTTTGTAAGTTTGCCAAGTCTAGCTTTGTCATATTAGTTTCAAATTCCATGTGTAGCTTTCCTATCACATACTAGAATTCAAGTGTTTGTATTGTTTTGGTTTGGGTGAGTGAATTGTTTATTGCATACAGTTTTGTAGGCTTCTATATATAGGTTGAGTGAGAAAGCACTCAAGGAGTACGAATGAACCTAGTTAGGGACTTAGGTTTGGAAGAATAGGGTTCTACTGGGTAGCAAGTTCAGACTGGAACTTGTGAGTTTAGGTCTGATTATAATATGTTGTAACAGGAGAGGTTTCCCTATTATAGTGAAGTGTTTTGATGTTTGAACTCCCTTAGAAGGGTCGAGTTTTACTTTCAGTTAGGCCTTGGAAGGTTTTCTCGTAAAATACTGATGCAATGTGCAAGTTTCTTTTACATTTCTGTTATATATATTCCGCAAAAGCAGGCATTAGAAACTCACTACAATTCACCCCCTCTTGTAGTGTTCGTCTCAACTAACAGATTTGAAACTATAACACGTACTACATGTTTTTCTTGTTTTCCTATTTCTAGTGCATGGTTTTGGATAGGGTCATGCATAAAATGACCATAAATCACAAGAAAAACCCACCCGTACCCCTTTTGAATGGACCAAATAGTGTTAGTTGGCACTTGCCAGATAATGCAATGATATATAATCGTTTTAAGTAGTAATACACACTTTATAAAAGAAACCCATTTTACAACTATAATGTCGTTCATGATTCATGTGGGAGAAAAAAAAAATTGTGTTTAGCAGAGCTAGCAAAAGCTGACGTAGAACAACATAACATAAAACGGACACATACGAAAAATAAAAGTTAGAATCAATTGTCAGAGGTTTATCACGTGCTTACAAAAAGTGGGTCAATACGATGACACGATGTTTAAGTAAATAAGTTAGACTAGTATTGAGATTTCAAGTTAATAAGAAATTAAAAACACAACAAAACTACAACGGTTGTTTCATACACTCTTCATATCTATAGTTGTGATTTATAGCCTTCCTATGAGAGAGGTCTATTGATTTAATGTAGTCGTGAAGAAGTTTCTTGTCTAGATCACTTGATTGTAATAATGGAAGAATTAACCTCTTTTTTAACCTTGCATAAACCTTTATCTATTTATACCACTAAAAAACTTGAACTTGAACAATTAAAGACACTACAATTAAAGAATGTATTATTGAAACTAACAGCAAATATAGAAATATATAAAAGAAAAAAGTCATAAATAACCGAATGTTTGAAGAAATTTGACTATTTTGCATGGCCTATGAAACACTAATTTTTATGAACCTTGAGTGAAAAATATGGAGAGGGTCAAGGAGATAGGTTGGTGGGCTGGCTAGGATATATTATTTCTTAATTAACATATACTTAAATAGTTTTGATGAACCCTAGAGTTAAATATGGGAGAGAAATCTAAAGGATAGGGTACCATTGACTAGGGTTTTATATCTTCTTACTCAACATATACTTACAAAAATTATGAACCCTAAGCTAGAGTGAAAAAAGGGGGAGATCGAGGAAATAGGGTGGTGGCTAGGGTTTTATACCTTAATCAACATATACTTAAATAATTAATGCACAATAGTTTCTTAGAGCGGGAAAATAAAGCGTGATAAAATTCTATTTCCTCACGTGGGCAAGCATTGTATTTATTTTACTATTATATTGCACGCGTTAAATTTATCCTAGCTAGGTCATACTGATCACGCAAACAACACTACTTCTTTTAGCTATTGTCTTAAATTTTTGTTGACTTTCTAGTTTTCCTTACTAGTTGGTCAAATTATGATATGGAACGAAGGTTTATAAAGAGTACAAAAATGGTTTCAATGAATTGATAACGAATTCATAACAACCAGAATATTCTATACCTTATTAGTAACTGACAAAATACATGTAATGAAAATGTATGTTAAGATTAAATTACAAGAATTCTCATTACTGTATTTAGCAAAACATAATCATCATAAAAATCAAACTTTTAAAATTGAAATATATTAGAATAAACTTTTCGATTCATACATTTTTATAGTTTATTATCTTCACAATATTTTGAGAAAGAATACAATATAACGTCATTGTTGTTACATAAATAAAATAAACTTCCATTCTTTTCTAAATACTCAGACGACGTTTTAACTTTTACATACTTCATTTATTTATTTACAATAGTGGCATGTTAATTACCTCTTTTATATACAGCGATGTAAATAATTATCTGAATTCTCCCTATTTAAAATTTTTTACATGCCCAAAACTTATTGACCTTGAGTTTTATTTATTAAAACTTAGCTTGTTGTATTTGTGAGTCAGACACTCAAACTTGGTAACCCAATTGAACTTGATAATAACTCTTATTAGTTGATGACATTATTGAACTTGACAATTTTAAAATCCGTAAAAATAAGACGGGAAATATAACCTTAATAACCCTATTTATCCTCATATGGGATCACTGTTGAGCATTTATCTATACACTAGTGAACTAATCCTTATTAATCATACAAACAATACTAGAAAGGAAAAAAAATAAATTATAATACTAGAATAATATAAATATAAATTTGATTTTAAATTTTTAATTGTTAAAGTTCTGATTACTTTAATATATAAACAGAAAGAAATCATAGCATTTATAGAAAAATAGTCCAATTTCCAAACTTTCGAAATATATTAGTTTTTTTTTTCTTTTCTTTGGACAGATCGAAATATGTTAGCTTAAACAATTGATTCAATGATACTCCCATCCATCCGTATATAGTAATACGGAGTATTTACTTTATACGTATACATAGTATTATTTGAAATGAAAAAATAATAATATGACATCCTTTTAATAAACACATTATATTTAATTATATTGTTTCTTAATACATGAGACATGAGTCACATGATGTATTATCAACCCTTTAAATTTCCCCTTTCTTAAGACATGTTTCTTTTGATACTAGTATATGATGTTATTTATGTTCATATGTAAAAAATGAGCTTAGATTACAAGAATATTCCCCTTTTTAAGAAACGGCCAAATAGTGGTAGCTGCCAAATTTCGTTTCATTAACACAAACATACTCCATAAATACCCCCTCCCCCTCTTACAATTATTTCATTCACACCAAAAAAAAAAAAAAAAAAAAACAATGGAGAAGAAAAGAAATATGGAAGAAGGAAACTCAATCAACAAGAGCAAGTGTAACCTCACATCATGCATGAAAAATAAGTCCAAAGTTTCAAAACTTGCAACTAGTAACAAAGTTTAATGTTATTAAATAAATATATATGTGAATATATGCATGCTTTTTGTTGTTTATTTTCCTTGCTTTGAATTTGATCATCACGAACAATTTTTACGTATCAAAATGATGTTTCATGATTTATTAGAAGCACCCAATCATATACATCTACACCGATGCACGTGCGCGATGCCAAAATCTGAACACTCAGATCACGAACAATTTTTACGTATCAAAATGATGTTTCATGATTTATTAGAAGCACCCAATCCTATACATCTACACCGATGCACGTGCGCGATGCCAAAATCTGAACACTCAGATCGTGACAAGCACACCTAGTGTGACTCAACTTTAAAAGATTTGATTGAAATTATTTAGAGTATCTCTATAACATTTCATACAAAAACTCTATTAGAGTATAAGTGTTTGATTTTGCTTATGAAAAAAGTCGTTTTACACTTGTACCGGTCTCTTTTGATACGAAGTACTCCCTCCATTTTCAAATACTTGCTCATTTTCTCCTTGCATGGAGTTTTAGGAGAAATTGGAGAAAGTAATAAAATATGGAGGTAGTAGGGTAGGTGGAAAAATAAAAAAAAATGTAAAAAGCAAAAGTAGTGGAGATGATCGGAGGAGAGAGAATATAAAATTAATAAAATATGTTTTATGGTAGGTCCACTAGGTAAAAAAAAACTAATTAAATATTGTTAAAACTTTCCAAATAAGAAAATGGAGCAAGTATTTAAAAATGGGCGGAATAGGAAAGGGTAGCAAGTATTAAAAAACGAAGGGAGTAGTCTTTTACTCAACAAATTTTAAAATAATTCATCCTTAAACAATCAAGACACCCAATTCACAATTCCACTTTAAACAATCCGGTAAATCAAACATAAAATTTTAGCTACATGTATCTTTTAATTTTCTGTAATGCATGTAAAAATAATTTTAGCATAATTTATTATCGGGACATAATAAAGGTTAAGGATTAAAATTTCAAAATCAAGCATAAAAGTTATTGCACTTAATTTTTTTTTGTGTTAAAAACAATTATATACAATACCTCGTTCAATTCTATTTCTCTAGATTTCCTTTCTTTTGCTTCATTTTGTGTCCAACATTGAATATCTGTAGATTAAGCAACGTATTGCATGTCTCTCAAACAAGCAACATATTGCATGTCTCTCAAGTCCAAATATAGCGTTACATTAAAAGAGGGATGTAACAAACAGAATAAATCCAAATTAACGTTATTAATATGAAATGAGATGCATGTGGCATATACTTTATAATATTTAATTAATTAAGATTGTTTTTGACACTTTTTGTTATATGTAATTGAACGGGATAACTTCTTTACAAAAAATTACATATCTCAAATGGGGGTTTTAAATCTATAACTTATTGATTGTATATGACATTTTAATATTTACCAATAGACCAAGATCTCATTAATTAGTAACTGCACTTGTTACTCGTAATTATAGTGTATATACATGGATATGGATCTATGCATGTTTAATTAATTTTATGATCTCTTTAAATTTATGTTTTCAGCATCATCAAGCACCATTGGAAGTAACATACCATCACCATCTACAACAAACAACCCTCCTCCTCCTCCTCCTAGGAGGAGAGCCGGTCGTCCCCCGCTTCATCCATCATCAACAAACAACCATCGTGAACAAGAATACATACCTATCGCGAACGTGATTCGTGTGATGCGACAAGTCCTCCCTTCAAATGGCCAAATAACCGATGAAGCCAAAGAAACAATTCAAGAGTGTATCTCCAAGTTTATCAACTACGTATCGAAGGAGGCCAACGAGATACGTAAGGTGGAACAACGTAAGGTGATCTCGGCTAATGACTTAGTAGCAGCCATGTCTAGGCTAAAACTTGGCCACTACGCCGAGCCCCTCTTGACTTACTTGAATAGGTACCGCGAGGTGGAGGGTACGGATGATTTTATCCAAGCCCTAAGAATGAGGTTGTTTAGGCCTATCGCTGTTAGGCCCGGTGTCGCGATAGTCCCGCCACCTGTCATGGCGGATCCCTATTTTAACCCTCATGAAGGAGTGGGCATTGGTGGTGATGGTGGTGGTCGTGACGGAGGTGTTGGCCAAGGCCACGGCATATGTTGACCATATATGGCAAAGCTAGTACAATTTATAATACTATTAATAATAGTATTATAGATTGTACTAGCAATATGATGTACTTTGGTGTTATTGAGAGTTCTAGCAATAATTAATAATTATAATGATAATAGTTTACTATTAGTGTATAATGATGTATTTGAAGGTCTTCTACCTCCTAATTAATAGTGCACAAGATGTTGATCAATTGATGAGCTTGAAGTGATGATGTAATATCAACCTTATATAATAGAATGTATGAATGATATTTATACTTCCTCCGTTTTTATTTTAGTTAGTACCGTTTGACTAGAGGTATTAAAGAATGTATGAATGATATTTATACTTCTTCTGTTTTTATTTTAGTTAGCACCGTTTGACTAGAGATGGGCATGGACGGTGTTGGCCCGCAGGCGGCACGAACATGGCACGCCCCGACACGAGTCCATCCGTGGCATGGCACAATGACGACTGAGGAGTTGGGTCGTGCCGTGAACTCAATTTTAAAAAATGTTGTTCAACTGATTTGTCTGAAATTAAACTATCTTATCCTAGGCGTTCTAGGTCTTGAACGGCTAGTGGGACAAATGGATGATATTGTTTACTGGAAATTTACAAGGGATGGGATGTTTTCCACAAAAATTGTGTATGTGTGCTCCTTGGGTTATGAGAATGGTGGTCAATGGTCTCCTTTGCTTCTTGATTCATGTTGGTGGAGGAATTTCTAGGCTTCGCCTTTACTTCTAAAGTGGAAAAAGTTTGCTTGGAAGATTATTCATAATGCTTTGCCTTCTGCATTATTGCTTGCTAGGAAGGGTTTGCCTATGGATTCCAGATGTGGATTTTTTCTCATTTATTTAAAGATTGTCCTTTTACTTGGAGTTTATGGAAAGACCGGCCTTGTAGGTCATCTTTAGACGTGTCCTAGGATCAGTCTTTTGATGATTGGTTTCCTGAGGTTCTTTTTAGGTTTCTTCATGATAAGGATTGGTTGTTACTAGATCTAGGGGCGTCCATTCGGTTTTTAATTTGGATTTGGGCCAAATCCAATCCAATCCTAAATAAAATTCGATTTTCACTATCCAATCCGATCTGAATTCCTTACCAAATCCAATCTGAACAAATCCGAATTAAAATTCGTTTATTTGGATCCAAAAATCCAAATTAGAATACGTTGCAAATTTTTTTAATCCTGGTCCAATTATAAAAATAAATATATAATAATAAAAAATTTATTTTTGGAAGGATAGTTGTATATGATTAATACAAGTATTAAAAACATAATTTTATATGTTTTATATTAATGTAATTGTGAATATAGTTTATCATAATAAATACTAACAATCCCTTATTTGTAAAAACATGATTTCATATTTTCGGTTATTTTGTTTTTTTGGATCCAAACAAGGTTAAACCAATCCGATCCGTAAATCCTTTATTGTCAAAAAATTTCAATTCGGTCAAATCTAATTTAAAGTTCAAATCCAATCCGAATTAATAATTCGTTTGGATTGGATTGGATTTTGGTTTTATCTGAATAATGGACACCCCTCACTAGATCATTTCTTTAGTTTGTTCTTACTCAAAATTCTCTAAGATTTTGTTTTTGCGGTTTATTCTCCTCAATGTATTATCGGTCTAGCTTCTAGTTGGGTGGAACGATGTTCTGAGGCTAGGTTCTTCAGATATGAGGTTAGTTGTCCTTTGTCTCCTCTCCTCCGGATTTTCTTGTACTATGTCTTATGCAATTCTTCGAGGGGATGCTTCGGCTGTTTGCTTGTAACGTCAGCCTTACTTTTTGATGGAGCGTAGAGTTTCGGTAGTCGTAGTGTGGGTACAGGATGGGTTTTCTTGGATCTGTCTTCTGGTGTTCAGCTAGAGGGTGGGGCGCAGGCCTATAGCTTTAATTCTACGTTCCAGTCTGACTGATGGATTGTCTATTTGTCTTATGCCATGCTAGGCAGGGTGGGTATTCCTCTTTACAGATTCATACTGATTGTATTTCGATTGTGGATCTGCTTCAGTTTCAGCATCCCAAGGATATTTCTGTCCTTTGGATTCAACAGGAGCTTCTAGAATTTATTGGGTCTTTTGTTGTGCGTCATGTTAAGAAGGTTTCCAGGTCTATGGTTGCTCAGGCTCATTGCTTTGCAGATTTGGCGCATCGGTGTAATTTTATGCGGTGCATTAATTTTTTTTAGGCCGAATAAATCAAATGATGCATTAAATAAACTCCCCCTGTTTCATAATTAGAAGCCTATTTTCCATTTTTCATGGAAATTAAGGAAGTTGATTGAAAGTACAAATACGCATGTAGGGTTAGAGAGAGATAGAGAGAGAGAAAAAGTGGTTGAGAATTATTGAATAGATGGAGAGAGAAAGTGTTGAGAATTAATGTCAAAAGTACAAAAAAGAAAAAGAAATAAAATATCAAATAATAAAAAATAGGGTATGATTGTAAAAAAGTATTATCTATAAATAGAAATAGACTTCTTTTTCTTTTTTCTTTTTTTTTTTTGATAAAAAGACTAATAGATATTATATTTACGATAAAATGTCAAAATTATCTTAATTTGCGACAAATATCTATTGTAATATATAAAGAGAAAGGGCATCTTGGGTGATAAATTTGTGTTTTTCCAAAATACTCTTTTCAATTTACTAATTTACTTTTTTTTTTGTTAAAGAAATTCACATATTTATTTTTTTTTTTAAAAAAATCTTAACTGCTCACACTGAGTTGTTTTTTTTTCAAAAAAAAAAAACATTTCATATCATATTTTCACTAGGTTTTATAAAAATTAAAAATTAAAAGTTATTTTATTTTTTAGTTATATAAAAAAAAAATTAAAACTCCCCACAACTAAAAAAAAAAAAACTTATTCGTCCACAATTCCACGTAGTCCACATCCATCAAACATTTTACAATTTTTTCTTTGTAGTATAACTGTATACTCTATTTCCATCTTAAAAAAAACAGGGAAAAAATTCATAGTCCACATATACAAAAGTAACTCTATATCTTCAATCCTTTTATACTTAAAACTCAACCATTATATTTTTGAGGTTTAGGTACAAGATGTCTACACCATATGCTCCTTTTATATATTTTACATCCATATTCTCGAAGTGGAATGTGAAAGCCCGCATTATTAGATCGTTTGACATTCAAAATACGAGACACGGTCGAAATTATGGAAACTAATTTTAATTGATGTTACGATAACCATTATTGGTTAATAAATTTGACTTTTTCCAAAATGCCCTTCTCAATTTCCAAATTTACTAATTCACATTTTTTTAAAAACACAATTATTCGCAATTTTTTTTAAAATAATGCTATAAAATAGCAAGAGAGAAAGAATAGTAGAATACAAGTGGAAGATGTAGATGTTAATCTTAGTTTATTTCTTCATTAGACAATGCCTATATATATACACTTGAGGAAATAGTAACTCTCCAAAAGTAATGAAGAGTCATAATAATGAAGAGTTACAAAGGGAAACAATAAAGTTAAAAGGAGTTACAAGAGGTTACTTAGGAAAGTAATAATGCCTAGGAGGTTACAATGGTTTATATAATGGACATACATTATTATATTTCATAACACTCTCCCTTGGATGTCCATTATTGAAGATTGTGCCTCGTTAAAACCTTATTAGGAAAAACCCTGTGGGATAAAAACTTAGTGAAGGAAAAAGAGTACATCATTCTTCATAATACGCTTGAGATGCTACCTCGTTAAAAACCTTACTAGGAAAACCCAGTGGGACAAAACCATAGTTAAGGGAAAAAGAGTGTAGCGCGTATTTTCTCCCCTTTTTCTCCTCCTGAATTTTACATCACTTCATATCTTCAATGCAATAAGTAAAATATTGACACAACTTCTTCTGTGTAGCAGCAAAATCTTCACGGACAGTTGATATTCCAAAATTTAACTTGAATTTCAAATCTTCACTTGAATTGTTCAATTGTCTTCATTGCATCTAACTTATGAGAATAATACACGTAGAATAATGTAATGATGTAAGAGCCAATCTTTTTCTTGAAATGTCGAATACACATATCTTGATAATAACTTCATTTTAGATAAAACACATTTTCTCATATAAACATAGCTTACGGTGAGGTCGTCATTAGTAGTTAAAAGTTTATCAATATGATATTTATGAATGTTTGATGATACACTATCCTCTTAAATCATATCTATATCATTCATATCATCGTCAAATTGGAATCGATAATGTAAAGCATCGATCTCATTGCATCACCTTTGGTTCTTCGGGACCAATATGTAATTATACAAATAAGTATGTCATTGCACTTATGTACAATTGTACACATTTTATATTGAATATTAAATTGGACTTGCAAATTCAGAAATAATAAGACTTTTCACGCCAACTTAGCTATGCTCAAACTTCAGGCTGAGATGTTATCTACTTAGTCAAAAATAATCTTTAAAAGTTTTATTCTTTACAAAATCTCATCAATATTCCAAAGTAAAATTTGAAAGATAGACATATAAATATATGTATAATTTCTTCAAGAACTCTTCTTAATAGCATATGCATGGTTCATAAAATACTATAAGAACATCATTATCCCAATGGATTTTGAATCTTCTTTTTATAAACTTTCATAAAGCTTACAAATTATTCATACTATAAATGGCGTGCATATTCATTTATGTCAAAATTCATAATTAGAAAACAGTAATAAATAATGTGTTAATGCAATATGAAATGTAAAGCTATATAAATAAAGCAAAATTATATAATGATATGTATGAATATATGACAAATGATGTATATATCCTTCTTAAACATGCATATGAATGTAAGACTAAAAAAAATGCAAAACATTATACAATGTGGATTTTAGAATCCATATATTGTTGGACTTCAGGTCCATGAGCTCATTCTCATAATCATAATTATGTCGACATAAAAATGGACGTATAATTCAGATCGCCCCTTCACAAGTCCATTAGTAAGTGCATATGC